GGCAGAACTGTAAGCAGTTGTGAGTATAAGGCTACCTATTGTCTTATACAGGCCTTATACTGTGTATACTTAAATTAAATTAAAGCAGCTATTAAATTAAATATGGGGTCTGAGCATATTCCCACTTTCCATGGTTAGAAGATGATGAATCAACTCATTTAAGAACTTATTACTAATATAAACCTCAATGTGACTAGGACCAATAATAAGTCATGTATTACTCACAGTAATGCATATGCAAACCTTATAGACGATGTGTCAACTTTATGAGCATACCTGTGACAGAAACTCTTGTTCAACAGCTCCGCCTGCTGCAGCTTCTTGCTCCGCAGCTGCTTTCCATCTTGCTATTTCTTCTTCTGCAGCTGCTATGTCCAACATGAGACCTTCCACCTTTTAAAATAAAATTAAGAGCTGTAAGTACCTGATATTTATTACGTGCACCAAACTAAAAATCTGTTGGCTAATTCAGAAGCACTAAAATTTCAACAGTAGAAACAAACCTATCCTTGTGAATTATATAGTATTAGAAAAATGCAACAAATATACTTACATTTTCATTTGCCAAATGCTCCTTCTCTTCGAGTTCCTTTATTAGATTCATTTGCTGGGCAATGTCTTTTGCTTGAGCATCCAAATGTGCTTTAAGTAAACTAGACTCTGCCCTTACTCCAGCAAAATGAAGGGGGGGAAAAAGAAAAATAATCAATTAACTTAGGCTCGTTGCAGATCTACTGGCTATTGCTACTGCAAGACATTATTGATTCATGTAAAACCTACATATTTCCACTTTTTTTGCATCTATTAATGATACATCAACCCTATATAAGTGACCATAGGTTCTGCAGAGCAAAATTATGGCTTGTTTGCAGAAGAAGTGAGCATAGGACCCAAAAAAAATAGAACTAATTTTAAAAGAATTTTCAGGCTAGATCATATTTCTGAAAATGCATAGTTTGGAGATTTTAATAAGTTCTTGTTGATTCTTTCATCGGCCAATCAATAATCTGATAGAGAACAATCTTCCAAAAGAAACTAAATATTGTGATATTCAAAGAAAAAAATATAACTAATTTTAAAAGAATTTTCAAGCTAGACCATATTTCTGAAAATGCATAGTTTGGAGATTTTAATAAGTTTTTGTTGATTCTTTCATCGGCCAATCAATAACCTGATAGAGAAAAGTTTCCAAAAGAAATTAAATATTGTGATATTCACAAAAAAAACTAATTTTAAAAGAATTTTCAGGCTAGATCATAGTTTGGAGATTTTAGTAAGTTCTATTGATTCCTTTCATCGGCCATTCAATAACCTGATAGAGAATAATCTTCCAAAAGAAACTACCATAAACATTGTGATATTCACTGATGGAAGAAAAAGGAAAAGTAAGCAATGATTAAATGTCCTTGTATCCAATTGTCAATTCTATAACGCATACACTTCTAACTCACAATTGCATTTCAATTAAATTTCTTTCCACAATTAGTTATCATGTGAGACTAGAAAGACTAACGGAAAACTTGAGGTAATTCCAACATGACATAAAGGAATTACATAAAGGAATTACGTCCTATATGATTTGGTGTTGCTGCTTCTCCCTAAGATTGAAATCTCTATGGAGAACTAGACCAACAAGTTGAAATGTTCACCATAACTAAAGTAACCCAAAAGGAAAAAGTTTAAAGAGCCTGTACTCAAGGTTCGTCATGAAAATAATAACTTCGCAGCTTCGCCATCACCGGATCCATGGTGTGCTTTTTTAGCGGCATAAGTAGGGAATTTGGAACTCAACATTACGTGTTACAAAGAAGTAATTCCAACATGACATAAAAGAATTACGCCCTATATGATTTGATGGAGTTGTTGTTTCTCCCTAAGATTGAAATCTCTACGGATAACTAGACCAACCAGCTGAAATGTTCGTCATAACTAAAGTAACCCAAAAGGAAAAAGTTTGAAGAGTCATGTTGATGGGGACATCCGGACTCATACACGAGATTTTCGCCGAGTTTATCAGCGCAGGAGGCGCAATATTTCAGCACTGTGGTTTTGAGTTTAGATGTAATAATTAATTTGAATTTGAATTTGAATTTCGAATTTTGAATATTTAGTTTCTTTGGTAGTTAATCAGTGATTGGTTGTGATTGATTGTAACTGATTAAGAGAGATTTGAGGGATTTAGGGGATTTTCCAAATCTGTATTTTTCTCTATTTAAACTCTCTGTAATCAGTTGGAAGGATTATTGAAGATGAAAATGAAATTGATTTTGCTCAATTGAGGTGTGAAACCCTAGCAAGTTCATTTTCGTTTCTTCTACAACACAAAAAAAAAAGAAAACAAAAGAAAAATCGAAAACCGCACTGTTCATCTTCTTCCTTCATCTCAATCACAGAACCCATCACATACCACTGCCCCCTCTTCAAACCCATCAACCCAATGGCCTCCTCAACCGCCTAACCCCCACCTCCGAATCCCCTTCCTCCGGCAACCGACCAGCACCACCCCAATCTCCGATCGGCCTCTCCCCTGCAACCGCACCCAACCAAACCCACCTCCTCTTCAAAGCCGCCAGCCTCGACGTCACCCACCCCGTTCTGACCGTCCTCTGATCTCCCCACGTCAAACAGTCTGCCAAACATTTCTCTCTCACTTCGCTGCAATCCACCAAGCCACCGACTGTCGCCGGCCATCCCCTCCTCCACCATCGACTGCCCGCGGAGATTTCAGATCTCCTCTGCCCCGAACAGGTTCGCAAATCTTTGCTGACATCCGCCCCAAAGCAGCCTACGATCGCCCCTTGATACGGCCTCATCGTAATCAGTTTGAAGCCCCTGTTCTTGTTGTCGTCGTCCACTACTTTGTCAGATCTACATATTGTTCGTTGTTGCGTCATCGTTCAGTTCAGTTAGTTGGTGTTATCGCACAGATTCGCCGTCACCTCATCATTCAGTTCGACGTCGTCCCTCACGTCGATCCAGTCACACCAGCGAAGGTTTATTTTCTTTCGACCCTGTATTTTCGGAACCATTATTGCTTGCATGTTGCTATCAATATTATTATCAATCGTATCTGTGCTGTATTCAGCTTGATTAAGTGAGCGAGCGAATCTGTTGCTAAGTACTTTTACTTATCTAAGTATTACATTTTGAACTGTATTGAGAGGACGAATCATTACATTTATTTTCTGGATAATTTATAAAAGATTTGAACTTAGTACATTGCAACTTTGCTTAAAAGCCATCAAAAGCTACACTTTATTCTTGAGCTTCCTGCCTAGATCGATCGCTGATTTGGCGAAGCATTGCTGTTGTTAATCTTCATATCTGCATCACATTGTTTCGCATCACATGTCCTCAAGATTCGTCATGAAAATAATAACTTTGTGGCTTTGCCATCACCGGATCTATGGTGTGCTTTTTTTAGCGGCATAAGTAGGGAATTTGGAACTCAACATTACATGTTACAAAGAAGTAGACTCATTACGCCAAAGTAAACTTGGGAGAGTTTGTTTGGGGCCCACGCCATTTTGACAATTGTACATGTATCATGTAGTGTTTAAGTAGATATTAGAAATTTAGAATACATATAAATTTGAGGATAATTATAATAAAATCCATCTCTAAAACAATAAACGAGTACAATAATTCCATAACGAAAAATTAAAGACCAAGGAAAAAGTTGTTTAAAAACTCAGTGGAATAATTACTTTTTTCTCCATTTCTTTTATGGGGTGAGTACAAGAGAGTACATATTAGAATACATCAAAAGAAAGTACATATTAGAATACATCAATTTGAGGATCATAAATATATCCATCTCTAAAAAAGATAAACGAGCACAATAATTCCATAAAGGAAAACTAAAGACTACGGAAAAAGTTGTTAAAAACTCAGTGAAATAATTACTCTTTTCTCTATTTCCTTAATGGGGTGTTAGTCCAAGGGAGTTTCAGTGTTCAAACTCCAGAACTTTACAAATTTCTGTTACTCCGGAAGCAATTTAAAATATTATATCTGTGAAACTAAAATTTATAGTAATACTATGACTTATATTTTGTGATGGCAAAACCACAAACTGAGTTTTTCCAAAATTGCCCCCTAGAGCTTTAAATTCACGATCTTTGCACTCTTCTTCTTCATTCCATCCATGGCCCCAGCCTCATCGACTATATATATGTTGTCTTTGCTACCCCCAATGATGCTCCCTTCACCCCATTGATGGCCTTTCATAGCTCTCTACTGCTTCCATCACCACCACAACTGTCCTGGCAACCATCTGCTACCATGTGCTCTACCATCACCAACTCCATCATTCATGTTGCTGCCACCTTGGCCATAAACATTAACGTTGCTGCACCACTGCCATCAAGTTCATTGCTACATCAACCATGATTATTGTTGTTGGGTCTGCCACTGAATTTGCTACCGGCTCAAAACCGCCTCCCTCACCCGCTCCATCACTATTGTCTTCTTGCCATCACCATCATCTCTGTTGCACCATTCCTATCACTGCCTCTATTCTAGTCATACTATTTATGCCCTGACTGCACACTCTCGATTGCCAACACCATCATGAAGCCACAATTGACATGTTGTCACCACCGAAACCACATTGTCGTCACCATTTTCCATCATCATTGTTGTGGCTATCACTTATCACGCCACTTGACATCTCTTATCATCTTCTTTCGTCCTCTCCTTTATTTTTCTCTTTCCTTTCATTTTAATAAAAAATTCAAATGATGGGATTCCCAAATTAAATGATGGTCAAGGAGATAGGAATAGGAAATTGAAGTTTTGTGTCTTAGAGCCTAGGGATCAGG